GCTCTTCTCACTTATTAATCACGCCTCTCCTTGTTTGTGCAAAAATAAAGAGATATTCAACCACTTTTCTGGCTCGGATTCTAATTGGGCAAGGCGCACAGATCTTGCCAGCATTATGGCTAATAATATCCTAAGTTCCAAAGCAAAGAAGCATGTGTGAAAAATAGAGACAAATGAATTGTTCTCACCATGGTGACCAGTTGAATTGTAGGGCTAATTATGAGCTCGGGTGCTGGTAAAACGCCTTGGTTAGCTTTCCAAAGGAGGTAGGAGATGGTGGAGAAACACAGCACGAACAAGGCGAAGCCAAGAATCTAAAGAAACGGAAAAGAGCACAATTAGAAAAATTTGAGATCCATTTTTCCCCCCTAAGGATATCATATAGCTATCATTACAGGGAGTCCTTCACTTACAATCATTCGGTGAGCAACTGTTGGAAACCACAATGGCACTGGGAAAAGTGACTTACAACCAGTCCTCACACTTAACAACCATTGGAGCCATTGTAGGGGGTGGGCTTCAAATTTTTTAGCAAGGGGCTCCCTGCCCTAATGACTGCCTGGCTGGGCGTGACTGGGTGGTCATATGACTGGGTGTGGGTGTAGCCAACTCCAGCAACTCGAGGTTGCTTCTTTGCCCTAAAAAAGATAATATACCAAAAAGTTGTTTATTATTTCGTGCATTTAATCCTTAAATAAAAGACTGGGTGAACCAGGCTTAATAGCAGTGACTGTGAGAGGGATCTTGGAGTCTTAGTGGAGTTTCTGGTGAGTTACATGATTCTTATTATTTGGGGATTAATCCCCTCGGAGGCTAGTGGCTATGTTCTCTGATTTTCTCAATGGCTGTCCTTCTCAAACCCTGAGTAGATTGTTTATCTAGCTTGCAACACTTTTACAAGGTGTGAAATGCTCTTGGCTCAATGCCCAGAAGTTCAATTAAGCCTATTCAGAGCTTTCTCTTGCTGCTTCTCTTTCTGAGGTTATTGGGGGCTCTCTGAGCCCTGCAGAGTCTTAGCTAGCGGCTCTCCTGAGCCACCTCTGATTATAGAATCCCAATGGCCATGTAATCAAAATTCACGTGTTTGGGCACCATCACGTATTTATAATGGTTTTAGGATCTTGGGGGGTCATGCAATTTCCATTTGTGACTTTCTATCTTGCTTCCAACGAGCGAGTGAATCCAGATTCATTTAATTACCACATGATTCACTTAGCAATGGCAGTGATTCATTTAATGACTGCGGCCCAAAGGTTGCAAAGTCAGACGTGACTCACTGAGCAACTGCCTTGCTTAAGCAATGGAAAATTTGGTCTACCTGTATTTTAAACTGTATTTCTACCACTTCATCATTCTTATTTGTGCTTGAACACTCTAGGTGGAAAGAGAACAGCATAATGATAATAACAACTGTATTGATTGGATGTTTAACCACAATTATATTGAATTGGATGTTTTTACCGGTTTTACTGTTTTTGTTTTAAAGGTGTGTTTTTTATATTTTTAATTGTAATATCTTTTATGAATGGTAAGCCATCCAGACTCATTGACTGAAATGGGCAGCCACTGAAATTGAACAAAAGAACAAAGAATCCCACAAAAGAACAAAGAATCCGACATGCTTATGGATGGCTGGAATCAGTGGTGGGATTCAAATAATTTAACAACTGGTTCTCTGCTCTAATGATTTCTTCCAACAACCAGCTCACCAAACTGCTCAGAAAGTTAACAACCGGTTCTCCCAAACTGGTACGAACTGGCTGAATCCCACCACTGGTTGGAATCCTTCTCCCGGGTTTGAACCTTACCATTTTTGCTTTGAAGACAGCCGACATCCTGATATAGCCCCTGCGGTTTTTCTGAAGGTAAAGATAATAGAAGGGGAAAGAAATCCATAGATAGATGCAAGGGATCCAAACTGCAACAGTGTTTTGAAAACAGGCTGCAAAGCCTGGGAGATCCATCCACCATGTCTGGCTCCGGTTCTACGAAAACACAAGATCACAAAATGCAAAATCACAACTGCTGAATTCAAAACATGTACTCTGTAATTGTCTAGCTTCCATCCAGAAAGGCTATTAATAAAGCAGTTCAACCGGTTCAACCAATTTCAAACACCAACTGACTTAAAACCCAAAGCCAACCAGTAACGATATTTCAAAAGCAGTGGGGGAAAATTACATGTTTTTTTCAGATAAGACCTACGCAGTACATTTAAATGGTCAAGCGCCCAGGTTCTTTTTCTCCTGCTTTTCTACGCTAAGGAACTGTTAGGTCCTCTAGGGTTGCAGTTTCTGTCTGTTCCCTGTTTTTGATCACTGCTATAATCCTTCTGAGTTCTGTCTCTCTTGATAATGTCCTCCAACTCCTCCTCTTTCTCAGTCTTAGCCAGAAAGCATTTTGAAGAATGTCCAGAAGTCCAAAGTTTCACTATTATTATTATTATTTTCCTCCTCTCTTGCATCCAGTCTAAAAGGCAGAGTTTTATGGTTCCCCAGATCGGTTTTCTGTCCTGTTACTTATCTCCAAATCTGACTTGAGGAAGGAACTAAGAAGTATGAATTGATGGGGGGTGGGGAAAAACTTTAACAAGAAAGAAAACAGATAGATATCTGATATTAACACAGTTGAGAAAGTCCAGAAATATTTCACAAGAAGAGTTCTCCATTCCTCTACTCGTTGCAGAATACCTTATGCCACCAGACTTGAAATTCTAGACCTAGAAAACCTAGAACTACGCCGCCTTCGGTCCGATCTAAGTATAGTATATAAAATCATACATTGCAATGTCTTACCTGTCAATGAATACTTCAGCTTCAACCATAACAATATAAAGAGCGCACAATAGATACAAACTCAAGGTAAACTGCACCAAACTTGATTGCAGGAAATACGACTTCAGCAACAGAGTGGTCAATGTCTGGAATACTCTACCTGACTCTGTGGTTTCTTCCCCAAACCCCAAAAACGTTAATCTTAGACTGTCTACTATTGACCTCACCCCTTTCCTAAGAGGTCTGTAGGGGGTGTGCATAAGTGCACCAACGTGCCTACCATCCCTGTCCTATTGATTCTTTTTATTTTTCTTATATGTATCCATTTCATGTATCCATAACTATGTTTATACTTATACCTGTTATCTTATAATTACTTGACAAATAAATAAATGAAATAATAATAATAAAAAAATAGATGGACAGAATCTCTTACCGGTGAGTGGGCATGCATAAATTTGTACGTGGAAAATGATCAGGGCAGAATGCTCATTGCCCTTCGCTTGGACCAGCCTGATTCAGTGTCTATGCATATTAAATTTACCCGCAGTGAAAGCCATATATCAATCAATAGTCAGCAAGAACTGTTTTCTGCTCACCCCGAGTCCAGCTGTTGCATTCTGCGGAGAACTACATAACCCAGGAACCCTGGTCATCATAGCCGTGGAGGAGGCTTCTGTCTTGTACAGATCTGATTGCTGCCTGCTGTCATTCTGCAATATTTATCTTCTTTGGTTCTGTGTGTTCTACCCCTTCCAGAGGGGTGGGGATTTAGAACATAGAATAACAGAGTTGGAAGGGACCTCGGAGGTCTTCTAGCCCAACCGCCTGCTGAGGCAGGAAATAGATAACCATTTCAGACAAATGGTTATCTAATCTCTCCTTAAAAATTTCCGGTGTTGGAGCATTTCCAACTTCTGGAAGCAAGTTGTTCCACTGATTAATTGTTCTCACTGTCAGTAAATTTCTCCTTAGTTCTAGGTTGCTTCTCTCCTTGATTGGTTTCCACCAGTTGATTCTTGTCCTGCCTTCAGGTGCTTTGGAGAATAGCTTGACTCCCTCTTCTTTGTGGCAGCTCCTGAGATACTGGAACACTGCTGTCATATCACCCCTAGTCCTTCTTTTCATAAGATTAGACATACTCAATTCCAGCA